TGTCTGCAGGATGCAGCGGTCAGGTGACTGTGACTCAACCTCCAGTAGTGACATCTACTCCTGGATCCACTGTCACTCTGACCTGTAGGACCAGCCAAGCTGTTGCTAGCTGTCGTGATGGTCTGTGTATGTACTGGTATCAACAGAAATCTGGACAGACCACAAAGCTCCTAATTCGACATGTGAGCATAAGACATTCAGAAACACCAACTCGATTTAGTGGCAGTGGAAGCAGCTCTGACTTCTCTATGACCATCAGTGGAGTTCAGGCTGAAGATGCAGCAGTTTACTACTGTAAGAGTATCCATGTAATAAACAGTGCTGATGTGTTCACACAGTGATTTGTAGCTGTACAAAAACCTCCCTCAGTCAGACTGCAGAGACTGCAGCTGCTGAAGAGGAAGAAACTCTGACACAGACCCCTGAACACAGAGCTGGCAGTAACCTCACTAAGTATACATTTCTTATTTAAAGATACATTAAATTAAATATTTGATTCTGATCATCTGAAATATATATAAATATATATATATAAAATAAAATTGTTTCTAGATGATACAGTGGTGACAGCTAACAAAGCAACAAATTCATACACAAACACTAGGGGTGGTTTGCTATTTGCTTCACTTATAAGAGGTTTTACACCCACGCTGAGGTTTTAGCACTGATGGTTCTGTAAATATTTAAATAAAATTATATTTTTAATAAAAATAATAGTTATTGTTTGTTAATGTTAGTGTATGATGCATTTGAAAGTAATTTGGGGCTTTTGGCTGGAGGATTAAGATTTAAAAGCAGAGATAAATAGATAAGTAGTAAGTATTTGTTTGCTGTTTGTTCCATCCACTAATCTTACTGCGTGCATTGTCCAAGGATTAAATGCTATTGGACTGGTTAAAGGTAATGTAGGAAGACATTGTTAGAATGCTCAGTGTCAAATTTGGATCTCTTTCCAGGTCGGTGTGGACTAAAAGGATTAGCAGACATCAACAAAAAGCATTAAAACAGCATGCAAACAGCACACTACAACAGACAGCTGGTAGCTCAGAGTACTCAGCTGTATTGATCACTAGTTTCCCGCTGCATAAGACAATACTTTATATTTTTCCTTTAAATTCTTTATATGATCAATCTGGTGTCACTAGCTATAAATTTAATTCTGCTTGAATAACAGTGTAGATTGTAGTGTGTAAACCATGCTAGTGTGAGAGTGGTCATCTTTTCCTTCACAGCCTGCAGGGTTAAAGTTCATGCCTTCAACTACAAAGTAATTTTAGCTTCTTTTTGTACCAAGATGGTATTATTTACTAGTTTAAGTGACAAATCATGACATTAAAGCTACCCAGTGTATGTCCAGACCTGTTAATCAGTTTTACGTCATAGCTGAATAGTGAGCGCTGATGCTGGCGTCATGCCTTTGGCCTTGCCTCTGGTAATCCTGCCAGGACAGGTCATTCCTCAGTCTAATAAAAAAGTTTCATGAGTAGAAATGTTTGCTGTATTATTTAAAAGAGACCTTGCGATTAATTTATAAAACCTTCCTGTAATTCTTACATTGTGCTTCTCAGCAAGTACAATATAACTAATTAATTACATACATGTGAGTAAACATGCACTCAAGAGCTTAAGTTGCAGATGACAAAGTGCATGAAGGTGCATTTGTGAATGGGATGACTTGGACACAGGTAGTAATAACTCATAATGAGCTTACCTTTAGCCTCTTTAATAAGCCTGAGTGTCTCTAAAGGAGACTTTGTTCGCATGGGATAGGGATAATCCTTTTAGACACTGCTTTACCAGGAACAAGTCAGTCAACGTTTCCTCCTTCAGACTGGATGAGCTCCTCAGAGTTAAACAGGACCCACATTTCTTCAGGTACACCTGCTCTCCTCTGCCGTGGATCTCGAGAGATACATACCGACAATTCTCACTCATCAAGAGATTCGGATATCTGCTGCCAGCGACGGGGGTGGGGGGGATTTGCTGGGATACAGACTGAGCCTGAATCAGGATGGAATGTCTGCAGAAGTTATTAGAAAATATAGTGTCTCTGAAAGTCAGGGCGTACGTGAAGGACTACTGCAAGAGGAATGGTCTGCTGACACTCTCGGTCTTTGCGGTAGTGACCGGCTGTGTGCTTGGATTTATACTCCGGTCATTCAACCTCTCCACACAGGTATGAATTAATGGATGAATGTATGAATAGAGAGAAAATCAAACTAAGACAAAGTGACTCACTTAGGCTCTAACAGACATTCGTTACATTAGAATGTTGTCCAGAATATGTACAAATTAGTTAGGATAACTAACTGGAATAGTTATCCTAACTATTCCAGTTAGGATAAAAGGAATAGGCAATGAGTACTCTTGACATGTTGACATGTCTGCACTGAGGCTGTAGATAAGGTCCGTTATGCAATAATGAGAAAGAACACAGACACAGACAATCACTTCAGAGGTAAGAGGAGAAGATGAGCATAAACAACTGAACAACTGTAAAAATTTTAAATATCAATACTGGATTATATGCAACTTTGTGTATGTGAAATAACCCAGGATTCAATCAGTTTTATGGAGTTTATGAAATGTTATTGGTTTGATTCACCAAAAGAAAGAAAAATTAATCTGTTTCCTTTCAAATACAGTGGTATAAAGAAATAACTTGTCTATTATTTGAGCCTCATAATATAAAATAAACAATAAACACAATTTCCAGATTCAATAAGTTTAGTTTGTTTCCCAGGAGTAGTTGAAAATGAATGAATTAGTCTGTCATTCCATACTGAATTTCTCTCAATGTTTTGTTTTTTCCAGCCTGTATTTATGATTTTATTTCCATATGTAGCAATGTCTCATTCAAGGTTACAGACTACAACCATGAAGTCACTGTGATGTAAGACGCTCTTAAACTGAGAAGCTTATGTGTCCAGTGTGGATCCTCAATGTAATCTTGTCTAGTAGCAGGAATGCTCTAAAAGTACATTTTTATTTCCATCCGATGATCAGTGAAAGAATCTGTGAAACACAAGCATAATACTAACTTTCTTTATTATTAAGAATTTAATATTAATCAAAATTACTACATGTGACTTATGCAAGAGCAGAGTTTGGATGTTCTCTCTGCTCAGAGAGTTACTCTGACCTCCTCCCACAGTCCAA